AGACTTTAAAATACAGCTGCTTTTCTGGAGAAACAGACAGGATGCAATAACAACAGAAATCCCCTGAAAATTATTGCTAAGTATTATGTCCCTAACCGCAAAAACAGAGAAGAGAAACTGAGGGGTGTAGAAGCTTCTTGGAGATTGAACTTCTCGTTCCCCCCCCCAAAAAAAATCATGTTACTTCAAACTTACCTGCTATCTGAATCCGAAGCGATCTCTTTCCTTCCCCCAAATCTGATCTGGCACTGTAAGAGAAAGTCTGTAAGTTAACAACGAGGCTGCTTGGATAAACTTTCAGGAATTGAACAGGATGCATGAGACGCTGTAAAGGTTTTAAGCGTGAGAACCAGACATAAGTCACTTTTTTCAAGGTTGGTTATTTTTCCGGACAGTTGGAAATTTCAATTTCTCACCTGTTTAACTGCATCCAATAAACGCTCAAGTAAAAATTGTCTTCGGGCACCACTGTTCTGCAGCCCTAAAATTCAAGCACACACACACACACACAAACATGTTATATTAAATATCTTTCCACTTGCAAATAGCGGGAATGAATGAAACGTGACTACGCAGAACCAGGCTGCTTCTTCCCCTTTTCCAAAAGGAGAATGGCTAATTGAACCATTTCTACACATAAACACAAAGATAGATAGATAGATAGATAGATAGATAGATAGATAGATAGATAGATAGATAGATAGATAGATAGACTGAGAGAGAGAGAGAAAGGGAAAGAGAGAAAGAGAGAGAAAGAGAAAGAGAGAAAGGGGAGAGAGAAAGGAGAGAGGGGGGAAAGAGAGAAAGAGAGAAAGGGGAGAGAGAAAGGAGAGAGAGAGAAAGGGAAAGAGAGAAAGAGAGAAAGAGAGAGAAAGGGAAAGAGAAAAAGAGAAAGAGAGAGAGAAAGGAAAAGAGAGAAAGAAAGAGAGAAAGGGGAAAGAGAAAGGAGAGAGAGAGAGAGAGAGAGAGAAAGGTAAAGAGAGAAAGAGAGAGAGAAAGGAAGGAGAGAGAGAAATCCATAACACATCCAAAGTAAGCATAAAGGTGAGAAGATTATTTGGCACACCTGATATAACGCAGAAAGAAGTTTTATGCATCCGCAGTTTATTGAGAAATGTAGATCTCAAGCCCCATAATCCACTTCTAATAACAGGCTTGGGTGCCCAGCTTGGAACAGAGCCGGAAGGATTATCAAGAAGCAGAATGAAACATGGACATAAACATGGAATAAAACTTTCACAGTTTGTATTATTATCCAGGAAGAAAATACCAGCTAAATCCAAAACATTTCAAAGGCTACAGCCCACTACTAAAGGATGCTACATTCAATATTTCTTTTCGTTCCAAGATGCACCCCCAGTTTTTTAAATGGGTGAAACTAGGCAAGGCAGCATAGCCCGCCAGACAGGAGTGGCCTCAGGCAGGAGTTCTCACCCCAAAATCTCATAGGTCCCCTTTTCAATTCTTACTCAGCAAAGAACAGCCTGGGTGCAATTTATACTAAACCATCACCTTTAAAACCCCACACGGCACAGGGCCAGCTGGTCTGTGGGACGCTCTTCCCTAAGCACAACTACAGGTAGCCCTCAAAATTGAGCCCAAATTTCTTGGTTGCTAAACGAGACAACTGTTAAGTGACTTTTCCCCCATTTTACGACTATTCTTGCCATCGTCGTTACGTGAATCACTGCAGTTGACAAGTTAGTAACTCAGTTTTTAAGTGAATCTGGCTTCCCCCATTGACTTTGCTTGTCAGAAGGTCGCAGAAGGGGACACACTGCAACCGTCATAAGTACAAGTCAGTTGCCAAGCATCTGAACTTTGATCACGTGACCCTGGGGATGCTGCAAAGGTTGTAACTCTGAACAATGGTCGTAAATCACTTTTTTCAGTGCCGTTGTAACTATGAACGGTCACTAAATGAACCAAATGAGGTAAGCCGAGGACTACCTCTTATTATCATATTAATTATACCTTGCTACATGCCTAAGCATCTTAGGTCCTTGCTAGAATTCTGTTCTTGCGGTCTTTTCTTAATAAATATTCCTCGTCCGAACTCTCAGCGACTTATCCAGTGGATTAACTGCCTCTAATCCAGGCTGATCATTAGGAAGTATATAGCACGGTGCTCTCCCTGCAGAACGTAGCTTTATGGATCTTTGGCTATTTTTGTACAGCCTTTGCCTTTAGCCATCAATATCTGTCCACGTGCAAGAAGATGGGATTTCAATTCTCAGTCATATAATATGCATGATCAAAAAGGGAGGCGCAGTCAGTCTCAGCTTGAATTATGTTGCTACAGAAGAACGGTCACTAAATGAACAGTTGTAAAGCGAGGACTACCTGTACCATCCTACCGGAACAGAAGGGGTCAGCATGCTCCTGGTCCCTTCCTCTAAATACTGCCATCTGGTGGAAGCTAGGAAGACTGCCTTTTCCGTGGCAGCCCCTGCCCCATTTAATTTTGCCAGGACTCAACCCTTAGTCAGGGGGTCTTCAAACCTGGCCCTTTTATGACTTGTGGACTTCAACTCCCAGAATTCCTCAGCCAGCATGCGCTAGCTGAGGAATTCTGGGAGTTGAAGTCCACAAGTCATAAAAGGGCCAAGTTTGAAGACCCCTGCTCTTAGTCTACTGTAAAGCTTTGAAGATCTCCCTTTCCTTTTAAGTGCTTGAACAAAAGACTGCAGTTTATGACGGCTCCAGGTTTTTTTTGTTTTGAAGGTGCTTAGTTTTATAGCTTTATTATGATTTCTATGGTGTTTTCACTTTTGATTGGCAGCCGTCCAGAGTTGGTTTTAAGATGGGAGGCTAGATAAATGTTTTAAATCCACAAACACTCAAACTTATCTCACTTCCCCCAAGGGCCAATCAAATAGAGGTGGTGAATATGTTTCCAATTCAAAAAAGAGCCAAGCTCAAAATTCTCCATTTTGTGTTCAAATCCGTTGCTTTTTATTTTCAAGGCTTGTTCAGAAATCTACCAAAGGTATCCTATGGAAAAAGAAGCTTTCTGATCACAAACCGTCAGGGTTCAAAGTTGAAACAGGAATTTCAAGCACAAAACAGGAGGCTATTTTGAGCTAGGAAAATTTATGGGATTGTCAGCAGAGTGTCGTAACTCTTTTCGTAAGATTAGAACCCTGTTTTCAATTTGAAAAAACACACTAGCAGCTCAAAAAGGGTACTTCAAAGGCAAAATATTTGATACACCCCTATTAATTAGAGGAAGCACAAAACGATTATATACAGGCAAAATGTATATTCTTCACATTTCAGTGTCTCAGAATTAATCTACAGGGTTTTCAAGTAGGACAAGAAAGACCGCGAACCAAAAAGCTAATCAGCGCTTATGGAAACTGCTATTAATGGCCAAATAATCAGAATGATCCATTTTGTTCCCTGGCGTCAGTTAGCTAAGTTGCTAATTTTGCATTCTGTCACACTTATGTGATTTCTGAGAACTACAGATTCCAACTTTGGACTCCTGTCTTCAGCTGATTTCTATATAAGTTACCAATTATTCCTTAAATATTTCAAGGAAGCGGAGAGGTAGGAGGAAGGAAAGAAAAAAAAAAATCCAGTCATTTCTGATATCAAGTTATTGTCTTGCTAAGTCTACCACTTTTCATCCTTGCTCCGCTGCTGCACATTTTATTCCTAAACGCCAAACAAGCCTCAACACATCAATGATTCAGCTAGAGTACATTGGCTCTACACAAAGTACAGGTATCAAGTTATGGTGCTTAGAGGAGTCGACGCTTCTCCAGAGTACATGACTTGCAAAATTATATTAGGAATATCTCCATTTTGCCCAAAGCCCTTGGTTCCCACGAGATCCTCTTCTTGATATGGGGTAAAAAGAAAAAAAATAAAATAAAAAGTAATTAAGGCTGTTTGCCAACAGATTATAATTTTCAGTATAACAGAAGGGAGGAGCAAAAAAACACAAGAAGTATTTAATTAAGAGCATCTTCTAAGCCACTGCTTCTCAGCTGGTGTTATGGATACCACGGTGAAATTCTGATATATTCTAAATGGAATCTAGGAGGAAAGTCGCTTAAACTGTAATGTAATAACAGCATGCCTGTGAATCTTTTTTTAAAAAAAATATGAGCTTTTTATTATGCTGGGATGCAAATATTTTCCTAAAGTAACAGATGGGATTCAGTTACTGCAGGCAACAGTCCATTTGCAGAAGGAGTTAAAGGATATTTGAAACTATAATATCCATTTAGTCATACAAGACAGTTTGCTTACTAAGCAACATTCAGCAAACAATGTAAAATATCAAGTCAGCATGAGAAACAAAGTTACTCGAATACAACAACACACAAAAAAAATGCTGTTGATTCTTTCCACCAGATTATCTCAAGCAAACAATGTAAAATATCAAGTCCACGTGAGAAACAAAGTTACTCAAAAACAACACAGACACACACAGAGAGAGATACAAAAATGCTGTTGATTCTTTCCTTCAGATTCCCTCAAGAAGTAAACCAATATTTAGGTAACTGCAGTGAAAACTGAAACGATCAAAAGTGATTGAATATGTGGGTGAGCGTGCAAATAAAATTAATTTGGATTTCCTGCTTGAGTGCACACTTTATAGTTCCGTTAAAAAGAAATCTGCTCAAGCAATTCTATTGTCAAGTAACCACATCCAGACACTCACTCCACCATCAGCATAAAGGAGGCAAGCGTCATGTCACTTAGCTCTGAAAAGCTGACTGACAGCCAGTTCAGACAGCAAGTTGACGTTTCACAAAAGATTTAACCTACATTTTCATTCCCATTTTCACAACCGAAGCAAAAAAAAATCACAGCACTTGGAAAGATGCAGAAGGGTTTTTACACCTCGAAGTAAGAGAAATAGGAGGGTGTCTCCATCATCCAAGTGATGGTTGCCCCAAAAGTGCTTTTCAAAAGACGACTGGACTTTTGTTGGGGGGGTTTTTCTCCCCCTTGAAGACATTTCGCTTCTCCGCCAAGAAGCTTCTTCAGTTCTGAAGAACTGAACTGAACTGAAGAAGCTTCTTGGAGTAGAAGCAAAATGTTTTCAAGGGGAAAAAAAAAACCCAACAAAAGTCCAGTTGCCTTTTGAAAAAGCACCTTTGGGAGAAATAAGAAGGCGTCCCTGAGCAGGTAGAGTGGCCAGAATCATATCAATTCCTTAAGAAAACTGGAAGAGTCTGAGCAAAGACAGAGGGCCTAAAGCTTCATTAACCTCTTAAGAAAAGTGGCAGAAAAGTGCCTCTGGGCAGGTACAGAGTGCCCAGAGCCACATCATCTCCTTAAGAAAATTGATAAAAAGATTTATATGATCTGAGGAGAAACCAGAGAATATTGGCAGAGAGCCAATATTGGTACAAAGGGTCTCTAGTCTAGAGAATCTCCTCCAGCCCTTAAGAAAACTGGCAAAGCCTCTGAGCGGGTACAGAGCGCCCATAGCCACATCAACTCCTGAATAAAAAATGGGCAGAGAGCCTCTGAGCAGGTACAGAGTGCCCAGAGCCTCAACAAACCCCTTAATAAAAAATGGGCAGAGAGCCTCTGAGCGGGTACAGAGCGCTTCCTGCCGGCCCCGCCACACCACCCCCCAGAAAAACAGCAGTGCCTGTCATTCCCAAAGCAGGAAAAGTGCCTGAGAGAGTGCAGAGCGCCCTGCCCGTAAGGAAAGCCAAGCCAAGCCAGGAAGGGCGACCAAAGCAAGAAACAAAAGTGAGGGGCAGCGTACCTCTGAGCATACGCCAAGTGCCGGGAGCTTTCGAGGGACTTTTAAAGGATCAGGGGAAGCCCCGAGCGCAGAGGAGATTGGAAGGCTAACCACGGGCAAGGGCGCCCCTGGGCATGTGCAGAGCGCCTCCTCCTCCTCCTCCCCCCCCCGTCCTCGGCAGCCCCACTCACCGCTCATGGTGCCCACGAAGCTGGAGCGACTCGCCCCCCCCCCACCGCCCGGACTCCGAGAGCAGGGCGGCAGCCGCCGCCGCCGCCGCCGGAAGTGACCCTCCACCCCGGAAGCAAAACACGCGGAACCCGGAAGCGTCCTGCAAAGAGTGGGATATTCATTTGGGTGGCGGAGGATGGATCGCGGGTTGGGTGCCCAGCCTTCCTTGGTGGGGGGAGGGGAGATATAGGAGCCCCTCACCCAATCTCCGGGAAGGATGAATAACAGGATAACGCAGGGGTTTTCAAACTAGGCCCTGTTATGACTTCAACTCCCAGAATTCCTCAGCCAGGTATGCTGGCTAAGGAATTCTGGGAGTTGAAGTCCACAAGTCATCAAAGGGCCAAGTTTGAAGACCCCTGGACTTCAACTCCCAGAATTCCTCAGCAGGTATGCTGGCTGAGGAATTCTGGGAGTTGAAGTCCACAAGTCATCAAAGGGCCAAGTTTGAAGACCCCCTGAGATAACAGATTTGGAAAGGGGCCTTGGAGGTCTTCTAGTCCAGCTCCCGGATGAAAAATTCTTCCCTTCCTTCTTGCCCTCTTCACGTTTTTATAGCCATCGTGACAGCCTTCTCCCAAGCCAGTTGGGAGAAGCGGCCAAGTTCGTCCTTGGGAACACAGGTTCCATTATCCCGAGCCACCAGCCAGAGAGAGGAGGAGGGGGGCAAATGGGGAGTGCTTCCTCGTCTGGGGGGCATTGGAGAAAAAAAGGGTTAAGCGACATGGATGGCCTGCAGGTTTCATCCCAAAATGAAAAGGAAAAAGAAATAAAAATTAAAGCAGGCAAAGCGCCATGTTTTCATTCCCTTTCTTCACTCCGCGGCTGAAATGTTGATAAATATGGCTGTAGATGGGGGGGTATTATCCTTCTTGGCGCATTAGATTATTTTGAGTGTAAGAAAAATAGAAGAACCGTCTATGGAGATTCTCAATCATCCAGGTCATGGTTGTCCCGAAGGTGCTTTTTTCAGGAGGCAACTTTGAAGACATTCTGCTTCTTACCCAAGAGGTTTCTGCAGCTCAGAGCTGAAAATTTTGAAAATTGTATGACTCAAGAGTGACATCCAGTGATAGTTAGGCGAAAATGTTTCCCAATTTGTGACATGCCATTGGCAGTAAAAAAAAAAAAAACTGGATACATTAGATGGGAAAGTAGCAATAGCTTCCAAATGGATTTTAACTCAAATATTTTCTTGTTCTAATAACAACTGATACAGGTAGTCCTCATTTAGTGACTGCCTCGTATAGGACCGTTCCTAATTACGAGGGTGATCAAAAAGTAACTTTGCACTAATCCTCACTTTTACCACCTTCACAGGTGAAGCAAAGCCAGATCACAAGCACAGTAGTTTTGCTTAGCTACCACTTTGCTGAATAACTGAGTTGCTAGTTCTGATTGTGGTCACTAAACAAGGACTACCTGTACAATTCCATTTTTCCCCATCTTCAGATCTCAGGGAAGCTTTAGGTACAGGTACAAGTCATAAGGAACTTTTTGTGAAAAAGCAAGGTGAATATTAAATGAGTCACCCCTATTTTTATGACTTTTCTACCACAATTGTAAAATGAATCACGTAGTGAAGAAAATCCAGTTTCCCCCCATTGATTTGCTGATCAGAAGCTGGCTGTGATGGTCACAACTGGCAATCACTTGACTTTGATTCAAGCGGTGGCATTCGTCGAAAAGTTTTCTCCCAAATTATACTTGCAAAGCCCTGAAAATCAGTTTAATCATGTAAAACTACATGGTTTTACTACTACTACTTAATCTAAAAAAATAAGTGCAACTACTTCACATCCTTGCAAAGCATTTTATTCTCGTTCCTTGGCGGCAAGTCTCATTCATCTCTCGCTTTTCCAACGCAAGCCACATTTCCACGAAATACATCCACGACCGCTCAACTCCCACACTTCCTTGCAATAATAACACCTCCTTTGCAACAGAAATCAGAAAAAATCCCCATTGATTCTCTTTCTTCCGCAGAGGGAAGAAGGGAGAAACAAAAGAGCGCGTGCGCAAGGCAAGAACCGCGCGAGGGCTGCTGGGGACTGTTGTTCTTTTTTTTTTTTTTTTTTTTTTTGCCGAGACTCGGAAGAATCCCACGCCGGCGCAAGGTGGGGGGGAGGGAGCGGAAAGAAAGCAGTGAGTTGTGCTTCCCGTGCGGCCCGGCCACTCAGTTCCCCCCCCTGCGGCGCGGGGCCTTTCGGGAGTTGTAGTCATCGGTCCCGGCGGCGCCCATAGGTCGCAAGGGCCTACGCGTGGACGCAGGACTACCGAGCGTCCAGGCGGCGCACGCGCACGCGCACGGAGGACGGAAGGCGAGGCGTACGGCAGCTGAGGGAGGCCATACTGCGTCGGGGCGGAGGGGCACACGCGGAGCGTGGCCGGAGCGAGGACTGAGTCGCTGCCTCCGCCGCCGCCTGCCGCCGTCCGTCCCCGTCCCCG